TGCAGTGCTGCATCTGTACAGATGTCATGCTTGTAGAACAGACATACTGTTACTGAGCCACTTCCTCCCCCTTCCCAGAAACAGGGCTACTTGTTTTCAGAATTCAAATGTCATTCAGTAATGCCAGATTCTTGCTACTGCTGTTGCTCTTTGTAAATTTATAGATCAAATTAAGATTCATACTCTGGAAAGCAACAAAAATACTTTCAACTTAATCACTCTAGTATATTTATTCAGCAGGTAAAAAGTGAATATAAGGGTGATATTTTTTCCTCTCATTTACTCTCCTCTCTAATACTGCATTTTCAGAAGAAACAGGTTAATCTTGAGCATGTGTATGCTGGGCGACATGTTGAGTAAATGTTTGGTGAGTACGGAGTGGAAGGATGAAATAGAATAAATAAGCCCTTCTGTAGTTAGGATATACTAATGAATATAACCCACAACGAGCCCCATCCACCTGACTATGCTATGAATCTTAGCATTCATCTGCTGCCGGAACATTCACGCTTAAGGATGAATGGGTTGTTATAGTGGTCATGACAGCCCTGGATTTTGTGATTTTCAGGCTTTTACAAAAGTATCTGTGACTTTTGGCATTTGGGAAAGTTTGCATGTGAGTGAATGGAATGGATGTGATAGGAAAATCTTCTTTGAGACCTTGAGACCTGTCTCTAAGGTGCCACAAGTACTCCTTTTCTTTTTGCGAATACAGACTAACACGGCTGTTACTCTGAAACCTAAACACTGATTGAGGTTCATGGGAGTTTAGACAGTAGATTAGCCACAAGGAAGAAGTAAAGAAAAAGGTCCCACATAGATCCATCCTACAAGTTACTGAACTCATCCCTGTGAAGAAATATGCTCTCAGCCCTCGCCCACTGAAGTCAATGGGATCATGCTGATACACGATTTGCCCACCACCTCTATGTAAAAGATAATGTTTTTCATTCCAACTATGACAGAGTCTGGCTTACGTAATTTAATTCTCAGAGGGTAACATCTAGCAGAATAGTGAGGACTTTTCAAAAGTGCTCAGCATTGGCCTAACATGGCTCCCATTAAAGTGAATGGTCAAACTCCAATGCACTCCAGCAAAGTTAGGTGAATGCTGAGTGCTTTTGAAAATCTCACCAATGGTTATTACTATTTGCTAAATAATGATGGCATCCTTTATGATATTTGAAATGCAGATAATGACATGGTCCATAATCAACCAATTTACAGAGTAGGGCCTAGTTCCTCTAAAGTATTTAGGTATCTAACTTCCATTGATTTCATATGAATATCTTTGAGGAAGAGCCTGAAACCTGACAAGTGTTGGGCACCTCCAGCTCCCAGTGACTTCAGTGGGAGATGCAGGATGCTCAGCAAAACAACGCAAAGGCCATGACAACTAGAGGACAGTTCTGTCTAAGACCTGGGTTCAAACTGGCCATTTGTTATCACAGAACTTGCACTGTATGAATTGTTTGCATTGTAAATAGCAGAACAAAGGTTCTTTTGCAGGCTAATCCTTTCCCTCTTAATATTTTTAACAATGTTTTTGTGACATTTCCTTTGTTCAGTATGACTTTTCTGTGACTCTTCCTAAAGATGGCCAAGTCAAATCCTCGCTCCTGTTCTTCATAAGTCTCAACTGAAATAATGTTACCAAGGTAGTGTGAGGACACAGCAAAAGGTCCACACAATAGTACAGTCTACAGGCCAATACTGTTAATACTCTGATAAATAATTCTCTAAGGAATTCATAAAGTCACCTGGTATGCATTAAAAATTAATCAAAATGAACTTCAGCATCGCTCAGAATATATGTCATCTATAATCTCTATATGGTAAAAACCCATGTCCTGTTGTCTGGGCATTTTCAGTCATTTCACACTAGGGAGGCAAGATTCAAATATACTTAGCATTGAGTGATTAACATCAGATCCTAAAATATCTAACCTGTTCCCCCAAAACGACACTGGAATTACATTCTGAAAGCAAAATCTCTCTGATCACAGAGTTTCCTTACATGGATTCCAGCGGTGAGACGCTCAAATACAGAGCAATTTGAAAAGGTATATATTTTGTATGTGTGTCCCCGTATAGCAGTGGTTCCCAAACTTGGAACGCCGCTTGTGCAGGGAAGCCCCTGGTGGGCCTGGCCGGTTTGTTTACCTGCCATGTCCGCAGGTTCAGCCAATCATGGCTCCCACTTCCCGCGGTTTGCTGTGCCAGGCCAATGGGGGCTGCGGGAAGTGGCGCGGGCCGAGGGACATACTGGCCACCGAACAAGCAGTGTCCCAAGTTTGGGAACCACTGCTATATAGAAATACATGGAAGCTAACACCACCTATACAGAAGTGACAAGTTAATTCAATTTCCATCTTCAAATCAGGTACAGTGTACCTCATTTGTTACCATGGATACAAGACATTATTTCCATTTGTTTGAGACCTCATAGTGGGTATGAAATTAAATGGTGACACAAATTCATGGAGGAAGTTAACTCAAAAACACATAACTTCAATGCCTGAGCTGCTATTACACATTTTTCGACAACATAAATTGCTAGATTGCTATGACTGCCTATATGGTATACTTCATGAGCAAATATCTATGTGATTTTGCTGATAATGCTTTTGAGCAACAGAAGTGGTGAGAGAAGAGAAAATAATCACTCATTTCATCAGTCCTGTAAGTGTGCAAAAGAAACCTGAAAAATCACCAGATATTTGGAGTGCATTAAAAATACATCAGTGTTGCATTATTTGCTACTGTTTGGCACCAAGTCTGTGCACAGAAAATTCCTTGACGCTCAAAATGCATCCATTTTCTCAGCCAGACCTGCTCTTCAACTGCAGCTCAAATCAATTATTCTTTAGTTTTCGAAGTGAGAGGGAGGAAGGGGTTTGTGGTTGCAGGGGAGTGGGTGTGAATGGAAAGGAAGGATGAGGAACTGGTTTTTTTAATGTGTAGGTAGGGCTCAGGAACTCGGTGGAAACCAGTTCATCTTGTCTTAAATTAAATATAATATATACACAACAAGATAAAAGGGAATGAGAGAGGTCTTCTTGTTAAACCATTACCAGCCAAGACCTGGATGTGTGTTTAATATTTCATATAGAGCCTGATTTTCATAGGTGCTGTACACATGCTATGCTGATGGATTTCAATTGAAGCTGTCAATCTTCAGTATTTCCGAAAACCAAACTCAGATTTCATAGGTTATACCTAAATGAGAGGCCAATTTCTAAATATTCCTGGATGAATCACAGGAAAAGTGTAAATGTCGTGGCGTGTCACAAGTGCTACTAACAACCCAAACACATCTACTCAAACCCATTACAATCATCCGCAAAAGTGACCCAACCCAGCTCCATTCAGCTGTTGAACCTGCTAACAACTTCCCAACAAGACTCCTCATCTCTGCAATCCTCAGCATATCCTCAAATTGGCTTAACTACAGCCCCTTTTCCAACTTCTTGAACCTTTTGTAATCCTCCCCCATAGGAAGTTGGTTGGCTTGATCCCAGATGTCAAACTAGCAAAAATTCAAAAACTCACAGCAAAATGTCAAGGATTTAAAAAACCACGGAGGATGGGAAACTACAGTTGGTGTGACACAGATCGATAGTGGATAATAAACGGTGGGTTTTCTCTTAACACGCTTGGTTAACAATATTGGTATCTGGCTGAAGTTTCAATCCTAATTCAATTAAAATTCCAGGGCCTGATTCTCTTTTGCCCTTGCAGCACAGGTGACAATCTAAACCAGTGGCTAGTGAGTGTAAAAACACGACCACTTTGATTTGGTAGCATCTTATACACATTTGTACGGGTGTGAATGACTACACAAAGTGCAAGGCAACAGAGAACAGGCATTAAGGCTCAGATTTAGCAAAGCATGTGTTCAGGTGCTTAACTTGAATGAAGTCAGCAATACTTAAGCATGTGCTTAAGTAAGGATGAGATTATTCACATGCTTAAAGCATGTGCTTAGGTGCTTTGAGGCCTAAGGCACTTTAGCATCATATTTGAAGAGCAACTAATGCCTAATTTGTTAGTTCTCATATATTTTATTAAGAAATTACTCACTTAGGCCACAAATTCTCCCAATGTTGTAAAAGAAAGATGAGGGATCTGGGTGTTCATGTACAGATCTGTACTGAAGCTCACTCCTGGTCAGAAGGCAGAAGTCTGGGACCCCACAATGACTACTAACTGCAATGTCACAGAGAGGGGATTTATGACTTCCAATGATAATATCAGAAGTGGGAGCTGATTAACTGTTTGGAAACAGAAGATCCTTAGAAATAAAGGGTCAATCTATGGCTTTAAGTCACTGGCCACAGTAGAAGGAAAGTGGAGGTGTACTACACCAGCAGCAGCTTCTGGCGACATTATGTTTGACTCAGTCACAATGGGCCAGGTCCTCAGCTAGTGTAAATCAATCTAGCGCCACTGACTTCAGTGGTGGTATGTCAATTTATACTTGCTGAGGAGATGGACAAGTGTCTTTAGAAGTGTCATGGGAGCACAGGCCACAGCAGCCCTTGCTACAGCCTTTGCAGTGGTACTGTGTGTTCTCTCCCCTCGCGCACTGCACAGCTCTGATGCTGTTTAAGGCTGCTGGCGCTATGACCCATACCTGACCTGCGGCCTTTGGGGCACTGGCCATGCTAGGTTGGAAAAGGCTTCTTAAACCTGCTATTTTCTTGCAGAGCTAGGCCAACCCACGCTGCAATCACACGTCAGACTGCAGTGTAGACATCCCCTTTGTCAGCAGGTCTTTAATCCCTGTGGCCTGATGCTGCCATCTGTATACACCCAAAACAGCCTGCAGAAATCAGCAGGCATTTGAGTATGCAAAGAAATCATGGTCAGGCCCCTTACCATCTTAAAAAAACTGATTTTAGCACTGCAGAAATTTGCAGTGATTTTTTTCCTAACAAAAAATACCCCTTTTGCATATACATTATTGGGAAAAGGCATTAAAAATTGACTCATGTTACCTGCTGCATGCCTTGCATAGTCTGCTGCAGAAATTGCAACTGTTGGTCCTTTGTGAGACTTTCTTCTGTCCTAAAGAGTTGTCCTTTCTCTTGTTTTAGAAGCTCCACCTCATTTCTGTAAGCATCCAGCTGCCATCGGAGGCTGTCATTCTCTTCCTTCAGTGCATAAGCTTGGGCTGTTAGAGCTATGAGAAAATGAACATTCAAAAAAAAAATCCAATATGATGACTTATTTGCTGGCAGATAACATAGGGCATTGTTCAGACAAAACGGGATGCAGCATAAATCTATACAAGGTAAACACTCGACTCTTAAGTTTGGTCTAGAGAAATTAAACTGGTGAAAGCCTTAAGAATATTTGTAGAACATTTTGGGTATGTCTACACAGCACACTAAGCCCAAGCTCTGACTCAGGTTCATGCCCAAGCGCCCCTTCCATCCATACAGAAATGAGGCTGACTCGGGTCAGGAAACCCTCTTGACTGGGGCCTACGGACCCTGCAGGGTGGAGGGTCAGAGCCTAAGTCCCTCTGTGATGTGGGTCAGAGCCCAGGTACTTCGTAGTGTGGATGCAGCTCGAGTCTGAGTCGCCACTCTTGGGTCTGAAGAGTCCAGCACACACAAGAACTTCTCAAATGGTCTGCTAATGGTTTACAAAGAGTCTAATAGTTCGTTAGAAATAGCAGGACTAATAAACTGTCACAGCTTCATAGGTTCAATTTCAACTGGTTTGGTGCAAGAGTGAACACAGACAAGCTGAAATGGTTCAACTAGTCCTCCCTATTAATGCCCCACAGTACACTAAGGGCTTGTCTACAGGGGGACACTCAGGAAAGTTCATCCAAATTTAGTTAAATTGCATTTAACTCCTGTGTGGAAAACTCTTATTCAGAATCAAAATGTCCTAAATTTGATTTATCTTAATTCACTTTCCTGAGCATTTCTGTTTAGTCAAGCCCTAAGTGGCCTTGTGACATTTCCCAGGATGCACTACTTCTAGGAGCTAGCTGTGAATTGTTAGACAAAAGGAATTGCAAATGAAATTGTTTAGGACAGCACAAGTGTGAATATGGGGCAAAATAAACCAGTTTGGTATGACTAGTGTGGAGACACTTAATTGTTTACACTTAATCTGGTTCAGTAACAAATGGTTCAGTTCTTTAGTGCAGACAAGGCCTTATATAAATATCCTAAAGCAGGATTTCTTGACATGGAGGTAGGGACCCGCATGGGCAATTGCAAATAGGTGTCAGGGGGTCATGACAACCTTGCCTTTCTGATATTGCTAAATGGGAGGACAGATGTGTAATGGCTGGGAGAAGAGTGCTGACGGGAAGGAGAGAAGTTGAGAACCACTGCCCAAGAGAAATGTCCTAAGAGAGACTTCAGAAAATGACCTATTACTGACAACAGATGTCAGCAATAATTCTCTTCCAACCCCACCACCTCAAACTAGTGTTGAAAACGGTTTAGCTGTGAATGAATTTTTGACCCTGATTCTGAAACTGTGCTACAGCCCTGACTTAACACGGAGTCATTCATTTTTTTCTACAAGGGAGGTATCTACTCTTGACAGTTTCCTACCTGTGTCTCAGCAATGGTGCAGTCATACTGGTACAACTGATAGCATAAGCTGCAGTGGAGCTGAGATGCATGCATTTTGCCACCGAGTCACATATGGAGGTAAAAATGTCTGCTGAGCTCCACTAGAGAGTCACCATTTCTGAAAACGGGCATGACATTTCTGCGTGTGGGAGGGCATAATGATGAAAACGGTTTTGTTCTGTGTACATTAGCAGTTAATCATTTGACGGGGGCATAGTCAACAAGAGGTTATTTCCTAGTGAGATGAGGCCATAAATTGTTTCAATCACTCTTCATAGACTGGCTGCTAAATTTAGACATAGGTTTTAGGGAAGAAACTGATATCTAGTGCAAAGGCAAAATTCTTAAGTTCTTCAATTGGCAAAACTCTATTGACTTCACAGCTTTTGCCCAGCAATGTTATAGAAACTGACGTGACTGTTTAATATTTATACTATGGAAGCACCCAGAGGTTCCAGTCAAGATTAAGGCCCTGTTATGCTAGGGAGTTTTGGCTAAGTAAAGCTTTTTGGATTTGGTCCCAAGAGAGAGGAAATGTGGAAACTCCACTCCTGCATCCCTGCGAATTCCCTGGTTACGAGGAATCATTTAGACAGAGAAATTATGTCATAGAGCAAAATTATATAAAATACAAATGTTAAAAAAACAACACCCCCCCAAACAACAACCCAAAAAAACCCCCAAACAACAACCAACCTTGGCACTACAAGAACATTACTACATTTGCCGCACTGAAAGATACTGAAGTCATTTCCTTAGGAAGCTCGATTTGGCTCCTTTTCAATTTAGAATGGCATTTTTATTATCATAACTGATAGCAGGTGTTTGTGGAGAAATCGATTAGTATGCAGGGATGGAAATTACATTTGCCAAATGAATTGCACAGTCTGCAATATAAGCCTAAATTTGTATAGCAAAATGTGGAAGGCTATAAAGCATATACCAAGAACATTTTTTAAATAAATTATCTGAGCATAAATATACATAAGGAAGTGTGACAGCCATTATTTCAGCGATACTATTAACGTCCTGGAGAAGAACTTTACTCTTGGCAGTTCTTATACTTGGCAGCAACAATGGTCATTTGGCTTAGCAAAGTATGATGCAGTACTGTCTTCATTTTTGAACTGTGATATCACTATGCAATAGCTGTAATTAAAAAAAAACCCCTCCAAAATTCTATCTGCATTTTGTAACAGGAGCACAAATCTGATTAAATGATTTCAAGCTTGATATTACAGAATTTTTAATGGCCATCGACAGTAACAATATGGTTACTTTCCAGAGAATAAGAAATGATATATTAACACCACTTAACTTCAGGCCTCTCTTGAACAGACCTTACTGTATAAAGAGTCTCTTGTATCCTGCGTAATCGCACATAACATGAGTCAAAATCTTTGTCAAACTAGTTTGTTGCCTGAACAGGAGATCTCAATACATCATTAGCAATAAAAATACTTTACTTTTGACAGGACAAACCTTTCTTTGACCCAATTAATTTCTATTATTTTTCAAACAATACAAATATCTTATTGCAAATATAGTGTAGTCATTAAAATACACCTATAGGTTCATTGTTGCATCTAATTTGGCTCCTCCACAGCATCTCTCTGGAAGATTTAGCTGCAGCTACAGTATTGTTATATCAAATTAAATTGTTTTGAAAAGCATGTAATCATTCTTCCATGATAAAATTTACCCTCAAGAAATTGTTGTGAGGAGTCTAATGGACAACTAAGAGGATAGAAACTTTTTTCATAACAACCAAATAACTACATCTGAGAAAAACAGGCTAAGCAAACACAAACCTCCAGTCCAATAGAAAGTATTTTTCAAAATTTCCTCCTCTAATTCAGAGGCCTGAACCAAACTTTCAAATGTTGCAGTTTGGGACTTCTTTGCAGTGTACCGAGGCAACTAAATGTATACACTAGTACATTCATGCTGACCAATAGACATCACTTTATGGTTAGCTAGAGTCATTACACAGTGCTATGCACCACCACTGCGTTAACCTTGACTTCGACACAGAAGCTTTAACCAGAGGGATAACCTCCTACTCTGTGAGGTACAGAAGGGACACTAATGCAACAGAACCTGGGAAGAATGTGCATCTCCTGTGCATCACCTAACCCAGCTCCAAGAGAAATCCCCAAAAGCTGTTGCAAAGATGGAAGGGACTGGGTTTGTAAATCTGTTGGCTTGTTATCTCGGATGGAGGTCAGGTGCTAGGGCTTCACAGCCTATCCTGGCTGGAATAACAGCTTTGGACATTTCCACTGCCGGCGGGTATGTCGATACAGCCAGTGGCAGCAAGCCTCTGAGCCCAGGGCGACAAACTCAGGCTCACACTACTGCGATAAAAATAGCTGTGTAGATATTGCTTTGAAGTTGCAGCTCGGGCTGGAGCTCGGACTCTGAAGCCCACTCCCTCCCTAGGCTTTGGAGCCCTAGCTCCAGCCTGAGCCACAAGGTTTACATAGGTTTCAGAGTAACAGCCGTGTTAGTCTGTATTCGCAAAAAGAAAAGGAGGACTTGTGGCACCTTAGAGACTAACAAATTTATTTGAGCATGAGCTTTCGTGAGCTACAGCTCACTTCATCGGATGCATACTGTGGAAAATACAGAAGAAGATGTTTGTTTTTATACACAAAAATCATGAAAAAATGGGTTTTAATAACTACAAAAGGTTTTCTCTCCCCCCACCCCACTCTCCTGCTGGTAATAGCTTATGTAAAGTGATCGCTCTCCTTAAAATGTGTATGATAATCAAGGTGGGCCATTTCCAGCACAAATCCAGGGTTTAACAAGAACGTCTGGGGGGGGGGGGAGTTAGGAAAACAAGGGGAAATAGGTTACCTTGCATAATGACTTAGCCACTCCCAGTCTCTATTCAAGCCTAAGTTAATTGTATCCAATTTGCAAATGAATTCCAATTCAGCAGTCTCTCGCTGGAGTCTGGATTTGAAGTTTTTCTGTTGTAATATCGCAACTTTCATATCTGTAATCGCATGACCAGAGAGATTGAAGTGTTCGCCGACTGGTTTATGAATGTTATAATTGACATCTGATTTGTGTCCATTTATTCTTTTACGTAGAGACTATCCAGTTTGACCAATGTACATGGCAGAGGGGCATTGCTGGCACATGATGGCATATATCACATTGGTAGATGTGCAGGTGAACGAGCCTCTGATAGTGTGGCTGATGTTATTAGGCCCTGTGATGGTGTCCCCTGAATAGATATGTGGGCACAGTTGGCAACGGGCTTTGTTGCAAGGATAGGTTCCTGGGTTAGTGGTTCTGTTGTGTGGTATGTGGTTGCTGGTGAATATTCGCTTCAGGTTGGGGGGCTGTCTGTAGTCAAGGACTGACCTGTCTCCCAAGATTTGTGAGAGAGTTGGGTCATCCTTCAGGATAGGTTGTAGATCCTTGATAATGCGTTGGAGGGGTTTTAGTTGGGGGCTGAAGGTGACGGCTAGTGGTGTTCTGTTATTTTCTTTGTTAGGCCTGTCCTGTAGTAGGTGACTTCTGGGAACTCTTCTGGCTCTATCAATCTGTTTCTTCACTTCAGCAG